AGCCTGAAGAAGATGGAGAACTTTTGCCTCCGAAATTGTGACGTGTGTTAAACAGGAGTCCTGGGGGACTCTCATTGCTAGGTCAAGATGCGGCAATTGCTCATCCTGAACAAAAGTTCCGGCATACTGCGCACTCAGTAGACATGCTTTTTCGTGATCAGTGGTGGCAGTGGCGCCGTCGCTGCCTAATAACACTGGGATAGATGAGCCAAAATTGCTACGCCTTTTGACGTAGGCGAAGAATCTTTTGGGATTCGCGGAGGCTGAGTTAGCCAGCTCCATCTCATAGCTAAGTCTAGCAGCTCGTAAATGACTCTTGCAAGCATTCCGAGCTTCCCGATAACGCCGAAAAGTACATTCTGAGAGAACTGTTCGGTAGATCCGCCAGCATCTTGCCCGTCTATTCATTAGCTGGTGTGCGACTGAGTCTAACCATGGTGGCTTCGCTTTGGCACCCTTCTTTAGCGAAAGAGGGATGTGCGGGTGGGATATGTTAAAGAGGAAAGACTTAAACGTATCCCAAGCCGTCTGTATATCATCATCCGGCAAGATGATGCATGGAAAACTTACTGCCTTGGCTCTAATAGACGGAAAATCGGCGTGCCAAATGTTCGGAGTCGGGACCCTGCGTGAATCGTAGTCTCTAATGAGAGCACAAGTGAATGACAAACACGTATGGTCACTAGCTCCCAAAGGGGGCCGTACTCAAGGTCACTCACAAAGTCAACCGACTTTGCGAAAACTAGGTCCAACAGAGAAGGAGCTTGACCCACCATGTACCTGGTGGGTCGATCGACAAATTGGTGTAAGGGTACTTCTAGTGTCAAGTCAACAAGCTCGGCAGCTAACCCTGTTGTCGCTGCCTCACAAGATAGGTCATGCCAATTTACTTCAGGGAAGTTGAAGTCCCCCATTATCAAGCATCTGTTCGCAGAGTGAGTGCGGATGAAGTCAATGAAACTCCTAGAAGCGCTATCAGGGCTTCTATACAGCAGCACAATTTTAAATTGCGTTGATTCGGTACAGACTTCAACTGAAAGAGCTTCAACAGTTTTATCAGCTGAGTTAAAGGTATGTGTTTTAGATATGTTTACACCACGTCTGATATACAAGGCGACACCACCGCCACGGCGATCAGATGGGCGGTCAGATCTTGAATTAGCGGACATATGACGATAGTCTAATATGCCATTTGCCTAAACATCTTAAACCTTAGAAGCCATTAAATTATCAGAAACTTCCGTCTTAAAACTTTCATCCAACGTTTGGGAGCAACCATTTGCCCCCGCACACGATATGGCGTTCAAATATTTGTGTGAATACTGAAGTATTTTAATGGTAATAACCATAAAATAGCACAAACATTGTTTGTGGTAAGAAAACTGAAAACAAAGATTTATCTAAAAGGAATTTTCTTTTTTGTAACTTATATAGTATTAATTTGGCGCTACGGATTGTTGGAACGCTACCAAGAATTTGCAGCCCAAAAGTTGATGGTCAGGTGCAAACAAAAATACCAATGTCTACTACAAGTTCAAGTTCAAGTGGGACCGGAACAGTAGGATAAGTCCCCGTGAATGTTCCTTCCGTGACGCGTCGTTGATCCAGGGTATTATTCGTCCGCGATAACTGGAATCCAGAAGAGTCAGATCAGCGCGCGCGAATCACACCACGGTCAACCAATTAATACCCACGCGACCTGCACTGGCAGTCCCCGCCGCACCGGTCACGTGAAATAAGAAAAAGAAGTACGAAAGTAATAAGAGCGTCAAGAAAAAAAAGATTTAATATTTCAATAAAACAAATAAACTAGGAAGTGAAGGGGAATGTTAAGAATTGAAGGCCAAGAGCGTCGAGTCGGTGTTCGAACTCTTTCACCGTTGGTGCCAATACCACGTTTTCGGGCAGTGCATTCCAGGAATCCACCACTCGGCGTGATAAACGAAAGTCCGCCCGGACTCCATCCGATCGAGGTTTGTGTAGCTTCAGCGAGTGACCGCGGAGCGATGGAAGCCGAGCCGGTTGGAAAAGCCCGGATAAATCGGGTCCGGTTTTACCGGTAAGTATACGATAGGTCAAGACTAGGTCGCCTCGATGTTGACGATAGTGCATCGAGAACATCCCCAGCGCAAGTAGTCTTTCTGGGTAAGAATGGTTCCGCAGTCCATGGACCAGTTTGGTTCCAACTCTCAACACTCTCCACTGACATCCTGTCCCTGACTAAGCAAGGTGGACAAGCCTGGATGCAGTATTCCAAGTGTGGCCTGACAAACGCTGAGAATAACCTAACAAACATAGCGCCCGTGATGGTCCCGAATGCCCTGCGGATCATCCACAACATTCTGAAACCCTTGCACGTAGCTTTCCTCCAGTTCTCACTGGATTTAAGTTCTGAAGACAATGTGACCCCTAGGTCTACCAATTGGGTAACATGGTGGAGTTCAGTACCGCCAAGAAAATAACGCGTTTGGGGGCTATTTGGCCCTACTCGTAAGATGGAACACTTTGCATAGTTTATGGGCAACTGCCACAGAGCAGCCCAACCCCAAAGTTGATCGAGGGCCCGTTGCAGAATCTAGGGTCCATCGAAGTCAGACACTATGTGCCAAAACTTTAGGTCATCTGCAAACATGAGAGATGGTACGTCCAGCAGTTCGGGCAGCTCGTTGACATACAAGGAAAATAACAACGGACCAAGCACCGAACCCTGAGGGAACCCACTAAGGACTGACTGACGGAAGGACAGACTAGACCCCACAAGAACACACATCTCTCGCCCTTCCAGAAACGTGGTGATCCATTTTAGTATACCCCCGGATATTCCATAGGACCGAAGTTTCAAGGAAAGGCGAGAATGTGATACAGTGTCGAACGCCTTGGAGAAGTCAATAAACACTATATCCACTGCATGACCCCGATCCAAAGCATCCGCCCAACATTCGCGTGCAACTAGCAAATTAGTCATACAGGAATGACCCTTGCGAAAGCCGTGTTGCAGTGGACTGAGCAGACCATACTCCCGCAGGTGGTCTTCAAGCACCTCACTGACCAACTTCTCCAATACCTTGACCAGTACGCTTGTCAAACTTACTGGTCTATAATTGGCAGGAAGATGCTTGTCGCCCTTATTAAAAATCGGACAAACGATAGCATCCTTCCAGTCCTTAGGAAAGGAGCAGCTGCGAAGCGACAATTGAAACAAACGAGTCACTGGGCCACATAGCTCGCTTGCTAGTTCGTACAGAAGCTTAGGGTGAATATCATCCATCCCAGCGGATTTAGCAGGATTTAGAGCCTGAAGAAGATGGAGAACTTTTGCCTCCGAAATTGTGACGTGTGTTAAACAGGAGTCCTGGGGGACTCTCATTGCTAGGTCAAGATGCGGCAATTGCTCATCCTGAACAAAAGTTCCGGCATACTGCGCACTCAGTAGACATGCTTTTTCGTGATCAGTGGTGGCAGTGGCGCCGTCGCTGCCTAATAACACTGGGATAGATGAGCCAACATTGCTACGCCTTTTGACGTAGGCGAAGAATCTTTTGGGATTCGCGGAGGCTGAGTTAGCCAGCTCCATCTCATAGCTAAGTCTAGCAGCTCGTAAATGACTCTTGCAAGCATTCCGAGCTTCCCGATAACGCCGAAAAGTACATTCTGAGAGAACTGTTCGGTAGATCCGCCAGCATCTTGCCCGTCTATTCATTAGCTGGTGTGCGACTGAGTCTAACCATGGTGGCTTCGCTTTGGCACCCTTCTTTAGCGAAAGAGGGATGTGCGGGTGGGATATGTTAAAGAGGAAAGACTTAAACGTATCCCAAGCCGTCTGTATATCATCATCCGGCAAGATGATGCATGGAAAACTTACTGCCTTGGCTCTAATAGACGGAAAATCGGCGTGCCAAATGTTCGGAGTCGGGACCCTGCGTGAATCGTAGTCTCTAATGAGAGCACAAGTGAATGACTAACACGTATGGTCACTAGCTCCCAAAGGGGGGCCGTACTCAAGGTCACTCACAAAGTCAACCGACTTTGCGAAAACTAGGTCCAACAGAGAAGGAGCTTGACCCACCATGTACCTGGTGGGTCGATCGACAAATTGGTGTAAGGGTACTTCTAGTGTCAAGTCAACAAGCTCGGCAGCTAACCCTGTTGTCGCTGCCTCACAAGATAGGTCATGCCAATTTACTTCAGGGAAGTTGAAGTCCCCCATTATCAAGCATCTGTTCGCAGAGTGAGTGCGGATGAAGTCAATGAAACTCCTAGAAGCGCTATCAGGGCTTCTATACAGCAGCACAATTTTAAATTGCGTTGATTCGGTACAGACTTCAACTGAAAGAGCTTCAACAGTTTTATCAGCTGAGTTAAAGGTATGTGTTTTAGATATGTTTACACCACATCTGATATACAAGGCGACACCACCGCCACGGCGATCAGATGGGCGGTCAGATCTCAGTATTGCGTGGCCCGGAACGTATAATTCACTGTCCATGACGTCAGAAGACAACCAGGTTTCAGTGAACGCGAGTACATCAGGATGGGAGTGGTCTATCAGGGCCCCCACTTCACACATCTTGTTTCGCAGGCTACGCACATTACTAAGAACTATGTGAAAACGTTTGGTATGGAGAGCCCCGGGTCGTGTGCTACCAGAATGGGCTCTGGTAGGGCGGAAGTGGACCGTCGGCTCACCACCCGAAAACCCACCAAACATAAACCTTTCTCGCCAGCTTCGCGACGCGCTTTAAGATTTTTGATGGCTTCTTTAAGCTTTATCCTATCTGCCAAAGGTAGATCCGGTTGTATACTCACTCCGGAACCCTTTAGTGTAAAGGCGAAGCGCAAAAGAGCTTGGCGCTCCTCCGGTGTAGATAATACCACGCGTAATAGACGGGGTCTACATTTAGTACTATCACCCGATATGTTTCCAAGCCTAATAAGTTTTCTAACAGTAACCCCAGGAAATATTACTTAAATACTAAAATTCGCGTACAGGTTAATTGCCGTCACGTAGCTCGCAGATGTGTTTTTCTCGTTCAAATAGACTTCATAAACCGTGTCGTTGTTAATGTCCCTTTCAAATGTATAAACTTAAAGATCATTTTTCAGGATGCAGTAAGCTTAACCTTATCGTGCTACTGTGCTAGATAATGAAATACCGCAGACTGTATCATTCGACGCTGCTGAGGAAATGTATTTTCAAAGGTATCTTGAAAGTATGAACTTTCTGCGCACTGAACAGCAAAGAGTGAAATTCTATAACATCCTCGTCAAATATCTGCAGCTTCGAGGTCTTGTAAAGGTTTGTAACTTGAAAATATGTGTCTGATGTATTTTCGGCAAATTATATCTGTTTTTAATAAACAAGCTATAAAGTAAATTTTGGGAACGAGTACTCTCGCGCCTAAAATCTACTTGACCAAGTGGTCAGCTGACGCTGCACACTTTCCACAACCTAGTGGATTCTGGTGGGTACCGCTTGGGGAGAAGGTACGGAATTGCGGGATAAATACTTATTCCCTGATAACACCACGTCCTGATTAGCAAGTTGAAACGGATGGGCTAAACGTGGCCCGTGTGAAGGCGAAGACTATTTTGTCCAGTTTCGTTTTCATGAGTTAAAGCTACAGTTTCTCGGGGTTTTCTGTTCGCGTCCTATATCTTGCTAGCTTGTTTCCGCCTACCCAATAGCACCCCTCCACGTCATTTCGCGATTTGCATCATAGGCACTTCAGCAGAAGTGCTTAAAAATACGAGGCTAAACAGGACCGGGACATGTTCCGTGAGACTTCGAAAACATGCTTTTGTTAAGTTTATGGTGCAGGAATCAGAAGTTCATGTTTAAGTGGGACAGGAACTGTAGGAACATCCCGTGAATGTTCCACCTTGGAAAACGTCGTTGATCCAACAGGGAAACCGGTGTCTTGATGTGCAAAAGGAGAGCCAAATCAACACACATGATTCACATGGTCAACCAAACAATGCTCACGTGCCCTTCACTAGCAGACCCCGCTGTTCCGGCCACGTGAAGAATAAAAGCAAACAGTAGTGTCAGTAAAGAAAAGGAAACAGAGAATACAAGCTTATCGAATATCGTAGGCAATATTAAGATGTAAGTTAAAATGAGTTAAAGAATCGTAGGCCGTAGCAGACCAGTATAGATTAAGACATGAAGGGGAAGACTTTAAACTGCAGACCGAGAGCGTCAAGCTGATGCCCGAACTCTTTCACCGTCGGTGCCATCACGACGTCTGTAGGCAATGCGTTCCAATAAGCTCTGACCCTACGAGATAACCGGAAATCTGCCCAAATCCGATCGGACCGGGGTATGTGCAACTTTACTGGGTTGCCACGAAGGGTTGGCACGAGTTGGGCGAAACAGTCCAGTCAAATCAGGACCAATCTGATCCAGCAATATACGCCATTTTCGGGCGTGAGATGCGTCTTTAATTGATACAATTAACCCGAAGGTAACGCACGCTCATGTGAGCCGTGTAGGATCGCACAGTTTCTGAGCCCTTCTCTACCGTGAATTTATCACTCGCTACCTTATCGCACAATAAACTTCTTGCACACATTCGACCCAGATTCACCATTCATTCACTTCACCACTTCATTCTTCTAGTTATTTAGGTGGAGCTTTGGCTCTAATGTATGCGCGCAACCACCTTACTTTCCAGACATGCATCCAAACTTTTACACTCATCCTAAACAACAATCTCATGGCTCTTCAGCAGGCCCTTTATCATCCCTATCCAACCATCCGTGCTGCAGTTGCAGCCATTTTTGTAAAGGACAGCTGTTTGTCTGCCCCCACATTATCATACCCAAAATCTGCAAAGACGCACCAACCTGCCGGCAGGCCATTTTTGATGTAAGCGCAACGGACGATTAACCCTTGTACTGTCGTGTCAAACCCAGACGCATGCACGTCTTTAGACGTTAGCCACTCATCCTGTGTGCTTGCTTGTGTGCCGTGGTGATAAACGGCGTCCTTGCTTAGCCCGCAGAACACTCAGCAACTACCGACCATACCTGTTTGTATTATTCTGATCTTGCCTTCGCAGGTGTGCCCCGCACTCTCAGGAATAAAACGTTTGTTTATTTATGTATATCACGTAACTGAACTAGCCATCACAATAGCACTCATTGCCTGACCACAGAAAGCTACTCCTAAAACGTTACAACTGCACATTAAGTTTGTTGTAGGAAGCGGTTTTAGGGATGTAGGATTTGGAATACAAGGATATAACTTTTGTCAAAACGATCCTCAACGTGCTTGACTCACTCTATGCAAGGTAAAGAAATGCAATGTCACAACCAATTCCGTTTGGTTTCACACTGAGTGTACGACTACTCCAATCGTCAGATGTATAGCCAGATTGGTGCAGAAGAGCGACAGACTGGCAGGGAAAGTAGAGTGAACAACCAGTGTATGACCTATCCCATTGAACTTAGACGAACAAGTACCTCCAAAGTGATGCCCAACGGCAAGCTCCGGTTCAGGACAGAGCAGCCAGGACGGAGGTTAGGGTAATGAGTCAGAGTTTGGCACTCCATCCCCGCTAACTGCTATGCCTATATGAGCAGCTGCTTCTAGTGATTCGCTCGTACTGCACACTTCCTCAAAGCCACGCGGTACATCCAATACTGCTGTAAGAACAACGACATACGCGTCTTTTGTTCCCACCCACGTGACAGAGGCACCATCCATCGTGGCACCAATGGCTGTCAAACTAAGAGCAGTAAGGACTACCACGGGACCTAGTAAGCCATCTATTGTCCGAGCAAAGAAATCGGCCAGACAGCTGCACAAAAGGAGAATATCAGCCACCATCATAATTTTCTTACTCCAATTTGTCTGAATCCGAGTCAAACCATCAATGACAAGCTGCCAGACAACCAGGAACGGTGAGACCCCTGTGTAAACTAATAAGGCTCCAAGTTAAGCCGTCATCCAAACTCAGTACGCTACGGGTAACAACGACTACTCCAAGCAACACTTCGATAAGGAACTAATGTAAACGCTTTTTTGCCAGCCACTTACCTCTGAACTATCCTATGCACTATTCGAATAATTTCAGATATTCCTCAGTGCGAACGCCAGAAACGTGAGCTAAACTCGGATGGTTGCGCTGAACAAAAAGAAGTAAAATCGCTCTCCGTCCATGGGATCCCAGAGCTTCAAAAATCAAGCAACCTCGACACTCAAGCACACTACTTGGACGAATGGAATTTCAACTGTAAAGTACTCGCACTCAAAGACGTGATCGCCAATGCATCTCAAGCTTACCATTATCGGCCAAGTACGAAGGCAGCGGTCCACCCGTAGCACTGCAAACCAAACCAAGGATGGAAAAGGCGCTCGAAATTTGACAAAAAATGCACAAAGAGCTGCCATCCGACATGCCTATATAGTGGATGGATATCCGGCTACAAATCGATGGGTTAACGCTAAACAAGCAGTTCTTGTGTGCTACCCTGTCAGCATACAGTACCGGGACGCCGTTAAAACCCACAGTCAACTGAAGTCCAAGTTGTTAGCTATCTATGGAAACTGAGCACTCTACAGTCCAATCCAGAATTGCCCCGTGGTCTATGTTAGCGGTTCAGCAAACAAACGACCAGAGGCTGACCCCAAAATGACCGGCATGGACCCATATCAGAAAGTCTCCTGCACAAATACGCTGCTAACGTCTGAGGCCTTCACGCGCCTGTATGCCAAAGCGCAATGTCTTCTCAGTACGCTGGCTGAACTAAGTGCCCGTTAGGTTTTCACACCTTAAGCTATCCTCATGGTGATCGAAATATGACTGAATACCGAAATTACTGATGCTGAGGTAGCTCAGCATGATATGCTTACGAACCGATCGTCGCAGTGGAGGAGTTGGAGTGCTCTTGTATTACCGGTGTGACCTGTATATCGATCTTATAGGTGACACCAGAAACGAACACTGTCCATTCTAGTTGGTGCCGTCTCCACCCGAGATGTGGTGGTGTGTGCTTACTGGCAATAGGTTGGGGTTCTCCAATGTCCAACTTGGAAATTGATCACCGCCTAGAGTCTGTCATGATGTGAATATTGACACAAACATACGGGCACGGCCTTTCTGCACGCAATGGAAGTCCCCGCTTCTTCCAGCGAACAATCGAAAACGTACTTGCAAGAAGTAACTGCCAGTGTACAGCAATGCAACCATGTTAACGCTCGCAGAGTTGGCACCGAACCATCTGTTTTAGATCTTGTGCTCATCATCAAAGGAAAGTGTGATCGATACCTTAAACACTTGTGCACACTTGTCCATAGCGATCAGACGAGGCTGCTCTTTCATTACACCTGTTGCGCGGAATACGTCTGAGAAAACAACGAGGATTCCCACGTCACCCATTACGGCATACTGCATGACCTCGCTCAAGCAACCAACTGGTTTTTCCCAGATGAGCAGCCTGCCGACGTCGCCTGGAAGAAATTCTGTCACCCAGTTCACCGGACTAGTCGCATATGCGTTGGAAGGCAAATTCTTTCTCCAGGGAGCAAGCGGGATCATTCCTGCGGGGCCGGACCCTCAAATGAATGGCTGTAAGACATTCGGTCCGGAGCGCTTATAAAACCTGTCCGGGTGTGTAAGCCTGGGATGCCTACATAACAGCAAAATCATTGTAAAAAATTAATCAACGATGACAAAGTCAAAAGTCAACAAGAGGTAGCGATGAAATTCAACACTAATCCGAAACTGCTGTGCAGGCTCGAGTTCGTCAAAAATTTCAGTCAGCTGAGTGCAGTGGCTTCAGAGATAAGCGTTTGCAATAAGTGTACATCAGTTTCTTTCGTTAGGAGCAGAACTCGAAAATGGATGGCAGTACGCAAAGCAGCATGGCGAGTGTACAGAGAAGCTCCAACGCCAGAAACTTGGGACAACTACGTAGCCCAACGTAACCACTGCACTCAGCTGTTAAGAGAAGACAAAGCCGGCTATAAGCAGAACATCGCAAAAACTTCAGTACTAACCACAAATTGCTGTACAAGCACGTTAATACCCTACGAAAGGTGAGGTAGGGATTTCCTCCACTCAGGACGGCCGACGGTCCAACAAGAACGGCTGTGGAAGCAGCAAAGGCGCTGCAGAGGCAATAGGACCCCAGGTTTCAGGTGTTGCCATCAAGCGATCTTCCAACCTTTGTCGTATCCTCACCAGGACTAACGCACATCACTTTTACCGCGAAAGCTGTGTTGCAAAAGCTGTCTTCTCTAGTCAAAGACAGCTTACCGGGTGTCGACACCATTCGTCCAGAGGCACTGGA